AATCCATCCGACAATGTTAATAGCCGATTGGAACCATTTTATAAGTGGATAGATTACGTCAATATTAAAAACAGCAAGTAACTGAAGAAATAGAAGGTAGATGTATTTATTATTCAAACAGTTAACGACTGTGTGTAAAACCTTACGTTTGAGGACTAGTTAAGGTATGATCCCCAACTTCATCTACATAAACACTGATATGGCATTAATTCATGAGAAGAATAGAGACTAATTGCTTCATAACTCACAGAAATAAAAATTTCAGGAGTTTACAAAGTATTTCTTGCTGACACCAAAAAAAGCAAGGTTGAATAATTCTTCTTAGAAAAGAAACATTAAATATCAACAAAATATCGGAAAAGATAAGTAAATTCGGTCATAAAATATTGATAAGTAAGTACTACTGACAGTGTTAGATGTCATGTAGAATGAAAATCGGCAACTTATAAAAAGTGAAACTTACTCAAAACTGAAGCCGAAAGAGACGCGATATTGTTTTAAATAATAAATGTTAATTACTGTGAACTTTTGGAATATATTATTCATAACTGCTTGAAAACTTATGTTTCATGTAACATATGTTGTTTAGCCGCCCCCTCATCGTCCTACACAGAACAAGATATCTCATTGATTTAAACAATCCTATGGATTCAGAAATGGAAGAAAAATAGATTGTATAAATCCGAAATCAAATAGCTCAGAAACTCTCCAGTTCATCAGCAATAGTCTAAGCAGGACATAAAAATTTGTTTAAAACTCGAAATGAGTGCCGAAGTTCTATCAAATGAAACGCTGCTCGATTTTTCCAAACTGATTTTCGTTATGCGATAAAAGGTCATTTCTCACCTTTTACATACAAGGAGGGTCGTTTACATTGGTGATAAAAAGCTTCATATGTAAGCGTTCTGACGGATGGACGAATAATAAATTCAGGGCAGAATCTCTCGACTTTGTGATCTGAACTTATTTTTAACTGTGGAACTTTCTATTCTCACAAGGTTTTCATTCAGAACTGCCTCCTAAGTAAATTTAGGGGACAATAGGATCTGATGCAGATGATCTATATTTATTAGCTTGTTGGATATACTAGGTAAGAGACCTTGAACTTGACGTTTGTGCTACCTGGCACTCGTCAGTAATGTAGACGCTTTGTGGCGCCAATATTGTTTAGTTGAAGTATACTGTTGCCAATATGCACATTTTTGCCTGCATCTTAATGTTTAGAGTCTTTATCGCATGATTACTATTTTTATTTATCGAACATAATTTCGAAGCCAAATGATTTGAAATCTGATGATCCTATGTTGTTACAGTCAGTAGAGTTCGCGGACTACGAGTAGAGGTGGTACTATGCTACTTGAATATGACTGAGACGTTACTTTATGGCATGCAAATCTCTGATGGCTGAAGATTATTCCGACATGGAATGATTATCATGAAGAACAGCAGTCCTAATAGTAAAGTAGAACTCCAAACCCGGATTTCCGATATTAGTTTGAACTATTGTCTGTGTCGCAAAATAGTGCTGAATACGGCAGGAATTGGCCTGAATATCGGAACAGGTTATTCGTGCAAAGCAGGCACTCAGTCAGTTACAACGTAGAATTTCTTAAATTAGTACAGAGAAGCAACTGCCACTTCAAATCCCATATTGGTAGCGACAGTACAAGTATTACCAGTAATGCAGAAGATTAGGGTTTGAAGATATGATTGAAGGAGTATAATTGAGATAACTTAAGAAAGAAAAAGATAGAGATGATGAGGAATTCTGAAGATTAGAATTTAATAGAACACAAAGAGTGGATCCGCTTGCACCATTGCAAACGATTTTGAGCTATGTCGTTCAAGGTCTCTAACCATTGGCGACTTACGTCTCGCTGATCCCAACCAGGTAGTCTACATCTAACAACATAATTCCGTCCACTTGTCAATGACTTTATTGATTTGTGCTATATTTTGGTTTGGCTGCCCTTAGGTCTCTCCCAACCTGCTCATACACCACAAAACATAGCTTGAGAAGTCAATCGGTGGTTAGGCATACGTAACACATGTCCCAACCACCTCAACTAATGAAGTTTCCCTGATTTGCTAATTGATCTGGACAACCCAGACGGACACTACTCGAAATATAGGATTTCGGCGACAGTTCACCATAGCCTCTCACTCAACCGGTAGTGTTTGAGTAGAGAGGTTGTATGAGGTTAGTGTGATTCTCTGGTACACCTTTCAGTGACAGGCATGGCCACAGAACCTGACGATCCACAGAGTCGAATGCCACTTCATGGTCGAGAAATACTACTATTGTTGGGCGTCTGAAAGTGTGTCTTTTTTGTATGACCTGACGCAGTGTGAAAATGTGGTCTATACATACACATACAGGTAGAAACAGCCTGATTTTCTCTAGTCTGCACTTCACGAGCTTTTGTTTGGCGTCGGAGTATTGTTGAGGGCAATATTTTAGACGTTGTATTAGTTTAACTAATTCTTCCGTGATTATGACAAGAGGACTCATGCCTTATCTTATATACTGAGACAATCATTGGTTTAGACAAGCTGGATGCGATTACTTCTTGTTCCCAAATTCTACCTAAGATTTTAGTCAATCAAACTGCTAAAACTGGACCACCCTCCCTAAATATATCAGGGGTAAGTCTTTCATGCCCCATAGCTCGCCCTCGCTCCAGATTTGTTACAGCCTTCTCAACTTCGTAAAGACTAGGAGGAATTAAATCTAATTGCTATTCAGACTGACTGGAAATCTTGGGTAACTGGGGTGTTACTGAAGGCCAGCTGAACGGATCCCTAAAGTGTTCTTCCCGTCGATCCGATCTCCTGGGTTGAGAATGGATAATAATCCCATCCTTTTCTGAGATAGTTTCGCTAACAGATGGATTTTTCTAATACCGGTTTCCTTGATAAATCAGGACAGTTGTTTGCTGTTACCCATGATGCAAATGGTCAAATAAACAGATGGACCACCAATAGAACTATTGAGGCTATAAGTTTACTAGTCCTAAACGATCGTACATCTAGGTCAGAATTATCCATAATAGTTAATAATGGTCAATAGTGGTTCGATTCGAGGTTGACTATGAACACCATTACAAGCCAATTACGTTCTAGTCTTAAGGGGTTGTTTTGTACTGAACCAAAAACAGGGAAGATGAAGGCGTATATATGCTGGTGAATTCGTGGCATCGAAAGTATACCAAAATGGACGAAAATAAACAGAGCTTCAAACAGAAAATGGCTCCCGCGCAACAAATAAAGAGTGTTACAAAAAGAGCGAATAAACAAGTTCAGTAAAACAGTCAATGGTACAAGTGGTTGTATCAATGAAAGTTTCTGTTAAAGCAATCACGTTTTCCTCGTAAAAATGGAGTCATTACAAGTTTTTAACGCCAAGTTTTTTGAACAATCCAATAGGCCAATCTGTCGTTGGTAATAATTTTAATGATTTAATTGATCTCATCAACCATATTCCCCGTTTCTTCAGTCGTTATAAAGTAATATGATAGTTCTGAAACTTACTGTAAATTAGAAAATATAATGCTGGTAAGTCCTCGGCAATCTAAGGCTGAACAGAGCTTATTGCCAGTTGCTGAAGTCCTATGATTTGCACACGTGACATAAATAAGCTCGATCACAACGCAGATTTTAGGAGTTATGCCGGGCAATCGCTGGCATAGCATCGCACTTTCTACTCTCTACAAGTATTCGAGTTCTAAAACTTTGCCGCTTGAGAGAGTCTGAGCTGGTAACTAGGAGTCTTTCAGTGTGAAGCGTGACATTCTCAAGGAACTGTGACAGTCTACTGATATCTATCGTTTGCTCGGTAAATGTACCTGTATTCCTTCCTGGGGGTATCAGTGGTCTACTGCCACCAAGTTTGGGAACCTGGTAGTCGAAAACCTCTTCTTTTCCGTCTATATACCTTTGAACCGTTCAAACTGTCACATCAGAACGATTGACGTATACCTGGAATCATACAAAAACAACGAGAACCCAGAGCAAAGACATGGATTGGTGTACTTCACAACTGATGCGTGCTTGCTGATCTCTCAACAATAACAGAAAAAACCCAGCTTTTGAAATCAGATTTGGTTATTTATACATTGTCGAGGATATAAACTTGTCTCCATTCAATGACAGATAGTCCGAATAACAAATTATACCAAGTGTGAACTGCTATGCAGTAGGTTTAGCGACACTGACCAACTACTCTCTTCCTAGCTGTTTCTGTGGTAGCATACTTACATTCATTCACTTACAAACACAGGACAAAGTTAGTGACTTGACACAAAATTGCTCGCTTGGACGGTCAAAGCTAATATTGCAATCTTGTGTTTTTTGGATTATATTCTTATTATATTCGTAGTATTCTTACTCTTATTCTTCTTATTCTTATTATATATTTACTCAACTTTACCAGTTGTGTAATTTCCTCCTCAAATAATCTCGTTCTCCACACTTAAATCTATCAGGTAACATGTTCATTAATGGCGTTACTACCAATGCTTACACAATAATGACTAGGAAAGCTTGTAGAGGTCTGAATAACATGGTTTTTAATGAAACGAAAATCCCTGACTCTAGCAACATGATTTTGAAGAAACTCATAACAAATAATGTACCTCGGACTAGTGCGTATATCTCGGTTCATTCAAAACACCAGCACTGAGTCTCCAACAAAGAAACCAGGATGATACTCCCTCTCAGATACTGCCTAATCCTGGCAAGACTATTATATAAAATAAGAATAGGAGGGAAAGTAATTCTTAAATTTGAATGATGCAACCTACTGCTTAGAAACAACACAAGGATAATTGCGTTGCCTGTTCATTGCCAGTTAAAACCAGAGACGCTGCCTTTGAATGCGATTTCTGCAGAGCATGTAATCATTGCCGCTACGGTATTGGGGTACGTAAACAGTACTTTGGGTTTATGACAAGTCAAACCCTTCTCCGGTTCTGGCAAAAAGGAATTGGATATTGGACAGCGGTATTTTTGTCATGAAGGTCAGAAGGACGCATCTCATGCTTTGCAGATCCTTATAACTACCATTGAGGTCAAATTTTGTCTGATCAAGAAACAGATTTGTGCTAAGTCTTAGAGATCACTTGAATCAGTATTTGTCTTAAATCGATAACTCAGAGTGAAAGGCAATGGCGGAGGTTGTTGAACGGAATTTGGAAGATTCCATTGGTGAGATCTTGCATATTCGAAAAGCGAAACTTTTTAATAAGCTGGAAATCAAGTAAGTTTGTTTACTAATTCTTCAATGCACATTGCACAGTTGTCAAGCAGTATTATAAATCGTTTAACATTTATAATGATATTTTATATATGTTCCAAACATAAAATTAACAGAGTTTGTACGATTCATCAAATGAAGTGTATAAAAATTTAGGCATTTGATAGATTTTTCTATTGCCTGAATTTATGTCAGATTGTGGGCAGTACATTGTGACGAATTTCACCTGTCATTCATTTGTATTAGATCTTAGTTCTCAAGGTTTTATGTGATTTTACATAGTTGTTAGGATACAGCTTGTTTTTTCGTGAACGTTATAGCCTTTTGAGCTGTATATCTGTTTATACGGTGGCAAAGATGTCAGGTGGTCATGATCCTCATATATCAAGATCAATGAAAATACTTTGACCTATTTATAGGACGTGTTTATAACACTTAAGTATTATTGCGTTCGGTGAGTGTGTTTCTGCGCTCATTGAAGTTATTTTACTCATCTATGTCAGTTAAGCAATGTATAATTTAATTAACTAGTGCTGACTAGAAGAAGCAAGTCAGTTTGTATGACACCACCAAGTAAAGAATAATTACACTAGTTACTATGTTTCTCCTTTTTACGCCATGCAAACCATGTTTTGTTTGACTACCCGGTCAATTGAGTTTCCAACAGGAAGATCAAAAACCAGTTTATCATTTAAAAAGTCGATTAAATAACTTTCAAGTCATTTCGCGCTATTATATGAATCAATGGACCAAAAACAACCGGGCGTTGTTTTATCCCCGATTTTCGTTGTAACTACATTTAGAAATGTTTTGGCATATAATTCAATCACATATGAAAGGGTTTTCTGGGATTTCTGATCGGGAATACTAATTTCTGGATACTAGTAGATAAGCAAAAGGAAAAACCTCTGCTTAAGCAAGATTTTCATTAGCTTTTCCAATAGGTCACTAAAACTTCGTTTTATTATCACAGTATTTCATAATAATCTCACCAGACAGTAGATTAAAAGAAAAGAATCACCTCATGCAACATTTTTTTCATCGAATTTCAAGTGCGTAAATTTTGTCATTTACGGTTAATATAAGTAAATAATTTTTAATCAAAACTGATTCTTGAAATATCCTGTAAAGTTTCACGATGTCACCTTATCTTTTACTGTCCAAATAATTCATCTCTCTTCCCGTTTCCTTAGTGAAATAGTTCGCAAACGAAGGCACCATGAATACAGTCTTCAGAAACGTAACAAACGGATTTTAGACTATGATGCTTACATTAACACCGAAATAACTATAATGAAGTTGTTACGCTGTCGTCGCCAGGTTGAACTCATTTTCCCAAGACTTATTGTTCTAGATGACACACGATAGCAGGTATGTCGACAAGATTGAGAAGTCAATTATTAGTCGCCTTGTACGCTTGCATCGGGTAAGTTGTTTCATCTACGACAATTTAATCTGCTGTATAGCAATTGTGTTATAGATTCCAGTCACATATTGACCTTTGGATGAGATTTATTCATTTTTGCAAAATTATTAATCGGCATTTATCTGTCGTACGTATCTGGAATAATGTGCTGCGAATACACGGTCGAACAGAACCAAGGCTATGGATCGCTGCAGCTGCATATCATTTACATGATGGTGTTAGATCGCAAGCTCGTGGAGATCTACGACATTTCGCCGAACAAAAAAGTGACTTGATCAAAACCCGCAAAAGATTGCGAAGTGAATATATGATATTGAATCGTCACACACCAAAGTCAGAGAAGCAGAAAATAAACCAGCTTATGGAAGAGTTAAGTAAGTCACTAAATAACATGACATCTTACTCAAATACCTGTGTTCTATACTGACTAATGCTTCGACCAGATTTAGGTAAGCAGAAGAACTAAAACATGGGACGTAGAACTTCTGTAATTGCAAATTACTGAGCTTAGTAATTCTGGTTGGTTGAGCGCTTCTATGCACATCATTCACGTTCTTAGTATAGTACCATATTAAAGCACATACTATGTAGTTAGTAAAGGTTCCCACCTAATAAGGTTCATTATTGACTTTATAACTAAGTGTTTTGAATATCGTTTCCCAGTTTACTTTTAGTTTGCTCTTACCTTTAGTACTTTAATTTTTAAATGTTTTGTTATGTCTGTTTCAACATAAAAAATTTCAGAAGAAAATCAAGCTTCCTTAGATGAAGCAGCTAAAGAAATGGTCAGAGAACGTTGTCTTACTTGGGACAGGGCCCATTTGAACGCGATCCGAGAAGCTCGACACCTGATAACTGAAGGAATCTCTTTCAATCCTGAATGTGATCTATTACATTTGGAATTGGTCAAATTAGAGATCAATGCTTTGGATTTTTTCCGCACTCGTGTTCTTCCACGATATAAAAACTGTGATACTGATTTGACTAATTCAACCGAAGATGAAAAGAAGAAACTAAAAACGCTGAAAAACGAGGCAGTGGAGAACAAGAAGTTTGTACGTTGTATTTTCGGTGAAGTCTTCGTTTAAAAATTATATTATAATTACAGTCGGTAATATGTACTGCATTCCCCATAATCTCCACCTTTCTCCTTCTAAGTTTATCTTACTAAATTATACTTCTCGAATCATATCTTCGCTCCCTAATCTTCTCCATTACTCCTAATACTTCTATTATTACTATCACTCATGGATTTGAACTGACAGTTGCGTCTCTGTGCTGATGGGGCATCGCAACCTGAACTGATGTACTTACGTACGAAGTTCTGCGTTGTATCTGTACAACTGGTTTCCTATGAGTTCGTATGAATTTAAAAAATTCACTACGCAGGATTTTAAAATCTTTACTTGTATTTGAAAGTTCTAGATAAACAAGTAACAGCGTTGACATATTTGACTTTAACGCAGTTATAAATTAGTTTACACCAATAGCGTTAAACCCACAATCTCTGTTGTCGAATGCATCGAACGACCAACCAGTTCACACAAAATTCACCCAAAGACAACGGCTAAGTATTTTGTGTTATTTTAAATTCAAAACTTAACAAGATTATTTGCAAAGTTCAAGACTGTATCTTTCCCTAAATAATAAATCTCAACTGATTCAGAACTTGAACATTTGTACTTAATAACCTTCTAGTTAATTTCATTGGAACTGTGAACCAATTTAAGCTGGACTGCCATTAAAAACCATTTTTTGTTATGACTCATCAGCAGTGCACATCCACGACCTAGCGCACAGGATTTGAACTTGCAACCTCCGGTCTTGCACGCGAACTCTTAGCTTCTAAACCACTGAGTCAGCATCTGTGCCCAGATTCAATCAATCTACGATATTACGCGATCATTCTTTATTATCTTCAGTGGGTAACAACCTTACGCACGACACAGTTTAGCTCCACCAGTCACCATTTCCCACTAAAACTCCTAGAGTTCCCTCACTAAGCAGTCACTAGTAAGCACATGATAGTTATCAGCATGGGGTTGTGATACGTATTAAATTTTCATGTATTATGTTTTTGTTTAAACACATAGTAATAGGTACATATAGGTACCCAAATATGGAGTTACTGAGTGGGCTGGAATACTGACCGAATGCTCAAACCAAAGCAGATAACTTTATTAAGGTACCGCTCTCTGAGAATTTGATTTAAAAGTCTAATCCAAAAAAGAGTGGAGCAAAGTCAAGAGATGCGGTCTCATAATGTCAGTGACCAACGACAGGTTCATACACCATTTGCTCCATCAGCATCCTGGAGCTCATGTACATCATTGGTTTGAAACGAGAGTTTTCCAACTCCCCTATGGGGATTCTCCATATTCACCTATTCGGTTAAAGCGTCGAACGTTTGACTTTCATCTTCCCAGTTTTGTGGACAACACCCCCTATGATGAAAAAGCATTGAGTAGAACTTGCCTGACCCTGGCTAAATACGCGTGGCCATATTAGAACATTTGGAGAGGGGAGCGTAATTGTCGCCGTCCATTGTATCCAGGCATTCGGGAGCGGAACCGGTGTGGCTGGGCCGGAAAGCGAATCCGAACTGCCCGCGTGGCCGACAAGCATTCCACCACTAAATCACATTTGCATAACCACTGCCTACCTTGACGCACGATTATAGCTGGTGTTAGAATGGGTTAGAATTGGTCCATAGATCACCAAACCAAAATGTGATATTAGTCCATGAGCCACTGACTGTCGGATTGAGCCCTGTCGTTAGATGGAGAATACATGATTAGGACCAGTGCGATTATCAAAACTAATGATTAAGAACTTTACATGACACGATTTAAAATCAGTTGTGATGGCTGACGAACACTCAATTTTTGTATTCCTTCAGATTTTAGGCATTTTAAAATCTCAGGTTTTCATTTCACAAATGCATATTTTCTGAAATCCTACCTCTTACGCCTAATTCTTTTTATTATTCCTTATACTGCTGATACTTATGCCACTCTGATATCTCACTGTGCTGATGTCGTGAGATAACCCCAACTAATGTAGATATGTACCTAGTTCTACGTTGTGTATTACGGAATAACTGAGTATCCTGTTACTAAATACTTTGTTGATTTTCTATTTCTGTGAATTTTCAGATGAGCTTAATAACTGAAAATACAGAATTTATTGTTAGCGGAGGAGCTGTCAATTTAGTGATTGAATCATTGTTGTCTCGATGGGTTAATAATAGTAAAATGCTTGAATTACTTCATCAAACATTGTTAACTGTTCCACAGTTAATCGATTCACAATTAATTGAGAAAGTGGCTAACTGGTACGTTTTTTTTTTAAAATTTATTTTTTCCCCCATTTTATTCATATTTTTTAAAAAATATATTTTTTTAAGATAATTTATTTTAGAAATAGGAACATTTTGTCTTCTATAAAACGTTAGTGTAGATTAACTAATAACATCATTGCAACTATGACTGAATTATTACGTAGAACTGTGTCGGGGGGAGGTTAGATCCCCAGAACTCACTTTTCGCGAGTAAGTCGCTTGGATGACCCTGAGATTACATTTCCTTGACTGTCATTGGTTGGTGGATTGTTTTATTACGCTATTTTTGTAGCTCTCCTAAGGACGTTTCTGTCATGTATAAATAAACTCGATTTGTGTGCTTGTCGACCTTGTATTTCCTGGTTGCTCGTAGAATACACTTTCTCTGCCTTATCAAGACATCTTGATATAGTTAGCCGGGCCGAGGACAAACGGATTAGAATAGCCTCTCGTGTCACTGCATCATTTATCTGCTCTCGGTTTACCGAGTAAAGCGAACTCGTAATAGTAATTTCAAGCTTATCAATTGACGAGCATATCAAACTGAAAATAGTACTCATTAATAAACTTCGTACAATAAAACCAGTTTAATTCTATACGGGGTAGTTTTCACTAATACTAACAATAGTAGATATAAACATGTATCGGATTGTTGTTAATTCCAGGCGTGTGGGCCAATTTGTATGAATGTAGAAAGTAAGTGCAATCGAAAAATAAAGACATTCATAATTGTATGTTGGATATGTTTTGAATAATTTACTGTTCTATAAGCTTAAACAGTTTTTGATGTTTATTGTACTCGTCATATGTTGAGTGAAAAACTTGATGTGGATAAATAAAATCTGACACGTTTCTTTTTATCTAAAAAGAATTTATCAGTTGACTTTTAATCGTTTAATTAATACAGTCAGTCTCGTGTGCTATTATGGGCATGAGGGCGGATGTCACTTCCAAGCTGTCGACACCGTGAAAGGATGTTTACTGAGGAATCTGAGAAAGAAGTTGGCTTAGGGTTAATCTTAGCGATCTGGGAGCGTGGCTGTAGAGCCTAAGGGACAACTGCTTGAGTCCGGTCACACACGGCCTTTTTATAGGAATCTAACGTATTAGCTCCGCCCTTTAGATGACCTTACCGCCGAAGACGGAAATTCGTGGGGTAGGGTGAGGTGTGACATTTTTAAGGTCGAACTTATCCAACCCTTTCCTTTCTTGTTAGAAGGCAGCATCGCTGCAGATACTGGTTGTTCGAGGAAAAAATCGTACTGCTGTCACACCCCCCTTCAGTCAACAGTATGACTTCGCTCTTAGACCTTGAGCTGCTGCTTTTAGTCTCATCGTTCTTCAATCGGCCCGTCTGGCTGGTATGGTAGGCACTAAAGGAACATATGTTCCATTCAATACAGCCCGGTTTGGTCATCACAAACTATGGGCAAGCCTGACCATCACGTCTAGGTAGCAGCTACGGTCAGGATTTCATCAATACACTTAAATAACATAAATAACTGCATTGTTTTTCTGTTTAGTCATTAATTATAAATTCATTAAGCTGAACGAAGAGCATTTCCGTAATCATATATACTTGGAATTTCTATTTAATGATATTACATTATAAGAATTAAACTTATCATTCCACATACAAATGTAAAATTTCCTTTACACTACTTTCAAGATAGTAGTATTACTGTTGTTTGTATTGGTCGAATCATATGTATGCATTGCTCGTATATCCTGGGACAACCGAGTAAGCAATGTTGCGATTAGAAAACGAGTACTAGGTAAGGATGGCAGGTCAATTGATGAAGTATTGAAACTTCATCAGTTGAGGTGGTTGGGACATGTGTTAATTATGTCCGACCACCGACTGCATTGACGAGCTATGTTTTATGGTGTAGGAGTATGTTGGAAGAAAGTTAGGGGCGGGCAAATCAAAACATGGCAGAAATCCATGAAGTCACTGACAAGTGGACTGAGTTATGCTGGTAGATGTAGGCTACGTGGTTGAGGTCCGCGAGACGAAAGTCACCAACGGTTAGAGACCTTGAACGACATGGCTCAAAATCGTTTACAATAGGAGCAAGTGCATCCACTCACTGTGTTCTCCCAAATTCTAATCTTCTGAATTGTTCATCTTCTCTATCCTTCGCTTTCTAAATTGATCTCACTGAATTATACTTCTTAGATAATTTCTTCGAACCCTAGTCTTCTCCACTATTGCTAATTCTTCTACTATCTCTACCGCTATGGGATTTGAACTGACGATTGCGTCTCTGTGCTAATGTGGTATGGTAAGTTTAATTGATGTACTTACGTACGAAGTTCTACGTTTCAACTGACTGAATGACTGACAAATACTCGTCTACACATACTTAATATATTCGACCTTTTTGGATAATGAAACCATTTCATGATCAATGTTATGCATTCATTCCATAAGACATTTCCTGATGATCAGTCATCAAATGAATTTTTCATTTGGCTACTTCTGATTGGCTCACTATGTCACTTATTATTCTTACTTTACTTAAAACTTATCATAAGATCAAATTATTTATGTTGTTATAATGTTGTATTGTTGTACAACACCATTTATGTTTTGTTTATAATAACTGTAATTAACTTCACTCTCTCTCTCTCCCTCTCTAATTACATATCAATAAAAGTTTATTTCTATCATTTTGTTTTTTTGATCAATTCACAGTGTAAAAATTGCTAAGGAGGAGGAGGAGAAGAAGGGAAATATTTGTGAGTCTGCGAAAAAAGATGAGGTAATACATGAGTTTATCATTTTATCTTATTTTGACTATTGTTATTGTCTGTTGCCTTCTGGTGTGTTACATTCTTCGTTGAGACTATCACTTATGCACGGACAACCTATAAGCGATACCAAAGTGACCTTGAGGACATTCACTTGCTAGTGTTCAGAAAAGGTTATAAATTAGTGTGCTCAATTAGCCATGTAGAGACCTTGAATGACATGGTTTAAAATCGTTTGTAATGGTGCCAGTGCATCCATTCTTTGTGTTCTCTCAAATCCTAATCTTCTGAATTTCTCATCCCCTCTATCTTTCTCTTTTTAAATTTATTTCACTGAATTATACTTCCTGAAAAATATCTTCGAACCCTAGTCTTCTCCATTACCGCTAATTCTTTTATTATCTCTATCACGATGGGATTTGATCTAACAGTTGCATCTCTGTGCTAATGTGGTATAGAAACCTGAACTGATATACGTACGTACAAAGTTCTGTGTTGTATGTATCTGTCTATCTGTCCAATCGAGTGTTTTAACTACAATTTCAATTAGTATTTCCACTGTGGTGTCGTATAATGTCATTTTAACACTGATATGCAATTTTCTCAACTGGTTACTTCAGTGAAAAGACCCAAAGTGAAAAAAGTACTTTATTGACTAGTCAAGTCGTCTTGACCAATCGTGTGTAACTCATCTATTCGACTGATTTCTGGTTGGCTCAATGTAATGTTTCAAGCTCTGACTGTGTGATTGATTGTATTATATTTTAAATCTAGATAAAACCAAATGCATGAGATGAGATTAAACAAGCCCCATACTTTCGTCTCATGTTTAAATGTAATTATAAACAACCTTATTTAATTCATCATATATACAGTGATCTATTCAGTACCTAATTGCTCATTTAACGATTTAAACTCAACCACTGAGTTGTCCTCTACAAAAAATTTTTTATCTACTATAAACGGGATGAACAGTTTAAGTTATTTATTCTGAAAGAGTTAACAATGTCAGCATTTACTTATAACAAAAGTGGCTAACTATCTATCAGCAATCGGGGAAATTCAAACCTTTACAGCTGAATTACGTATAACTCATCATTTAAAATTCTATTGATTGGTTGGTTATATCAATCATCCTTTTTAATTTCGTATCTTTTGACTAGTGAAAATTACCCATACTATTGTTAAGACTAATGATACTGCAGTACTGTTGTGTCAGTCAGTCAGCAACAACGTAGAACTTCGTACGTACCACATTACCACAGAGATGTGATTGTCAATTCAAATCCCATAGTACTGGAGGTAGTAAGGGTATTAGCGGTAATTAGAAGGATTAGGGTTTGAAAATATCATTCACGAAGTAGAATCTAGTGAAATAAACCTAAAGAGAGATAGGTCATTGGGGCTTCACAAGATTAGAATATGAGAGAACACAAAGAATGGATGCACTTGAACCATTGCAAACGATTTTGAGCCATATCATTTAAGGTCTCTAACCATCAGTTACTTTGATTTCGCGGATCCCAATCAGGCAGTTGTCAACTAACGACATGACTCAGTCCAGTTGTGCCTTAGATGTGTCGATAAATGAAGCTAAGTTTCAGCCCATAATACCTACTTCACATTATAATGTAAGAATTTAAGTATGAAATATATTTTTTTGAAAAAAAGCATACAATCATATCACACAAAAAAACATCTAACAAATATTAGTCGATTTTATTCCAGGCTCCATTGAAATCTAAAACAAATGAGATTCGATCAACAATTTCTAATCAATTAGTTGAAATTCACCAAACTATGATGGAAAAAGGTGTTGAAGCTGTAATACACTTATGGAATTCTTGGTATCTACCATCGACTGGTAATTCTCCTCCACAGACTTCACCTCTCCGAATGATTAATCCATCATTTCCTGAAGCTGTTGGTTTGTTACGCTCTCGTTTAAGTGCACTGTCTCTGTACTCTGCATATGAAGTAGAAGGTCAATCATTGTCAACATCCAGTACAATGGTCACCAATGATGAACATGATACTCAATTACACAATGATTATCATCGGAAACGTCAGTTTCTATCCGCTGAAGTTAATAAAACTCGAGTGTTGTTTGATTTACTGAGTACTTCACAATGGGGTAGTCATTGTCCAGGTGAGAGAATGCATTACATTTTCCGTGTTTGCTTTTTAAATTTTCCCGTTACATGCATTTTTTCTGTAAATGAGGTAGGTACATGTGTAAGTATTATTGATTTGTTTTGTGTGAAATTGTATCTAACAGTAGAATCCAAAACACCATTTTAATTGTATTTAGAATTTATCATCTGATAGCGCCTATATTATATATATATATATATATATATATATATATATATATATATCCTGACCGTACCTGCTATCTTGATGTGATAGTCGTAATGATCCGGTTGAACTATATCGACTGAAACAATTGTTTCTTTTGATCCTACTATGCTAGGTTAACTGGTTGGGGAACTGTCGAACTAAAAATAATAAATTGACGCTACCAGCTGCAGTGGCATTGGTTACTACTGCTGTAGTGTACGCTACTTATGTTCACATAAGTAGTATATGATATCAAACGGAAATCAAACGTCTGACAGCAAAAGATCGAGAAGGAATGAATGAGAGAACAGAAGGCGATTTGTAGGTAACGTAAAGTGAACTGAAGTCTGAACAGTCTAAATGAAAGAACACTGAAATCTGAAACAAATAAGGATTAGTTTGCAAATGATGATTTCACAGGAAGGTTTTTTAAATATGCTTAACAACTCTGTAATGTTCGCTTAAATATAGATGTTGATGTCCTTACCTGGTTTTCGTGCACAACACTGCTATAGCGAACTGCTTCAATGTACATATCTAGTGGGGAAGTTAGATCCCTAGAACTCACTTGATAAAGGTCTTAATTTTGGATTTTATTCATGGGCTAATCAGTTGACCTTGAGATTACATTTCCCACCAGGAAAATCCTTGGCTGTCATTGGTTGATGTGTTGTTTTAGTACGCTATTTTTGTAACTCTCCCAAGGACGTTTCCATGATGTATAAATAAACGCGATTTGTGTGCTTGAGTCCATTGTGTGTTTGCTAGGCATTTGTAGGAATACACTTTCTACGCCATATCAAGACTTTTTTCGTCAGTTAGTTTAGGGCAACGGATCAGAGTAGCCTATCGTGTCACTGGTTCATTGTCTTGTTCTCGTTTACCGACTCTAAGGTGAACTCGTAGTAGTTTCAAGCATATCAAGTGACGAGCATAACAATACCCGAGTTCTATAAATGGTTATTCTCTTTGCTGATATTGCTAACTGTGACTTTAGTTCAAGGACATCATTTCTTTGAAGATCGCAAACATGCCTAGTTGACGAAGGTGTCAACTAGACATGAAATCTGTGTCTATCTATGATTTCATGATGATGATTGCTGTCGAATGTTCTGACATCAAAATGCTGATCAATATAAAGATTCTTTTTTCGTTATTATTACTGGTCAGTCAATGAGGTAATAATCGATTGTCAATTGATGTAAACATGTAATTCCATTTAATATATATGCATCAAAATCTTATGGTCATATTTTATTCTCATAATATCAATTCACAGAATTCTGGTTAATTTATTTACAATTTGAAAAAACCATTGGAGATATTACACAAATGCCAGCTGTACAATGGAGAGCTCAAAAAACACTATCCACTGAATGTTTTGACAAGTTCATTGTCATGTTAAATAAAGACTGTGAATAAAACTAATCAGTGCAAACTTGTGTACTATATATATACTGCATACATTTTGTATTATAATGTAAAATATAACATGTAATGAGAAGTGATTGATTTTGTAGTTTTGTTTATTTCATGAAGTTACTTTTTTTATACAGTTATTTTGTTATATATAAAAATATGTTCAATTTATAACTAAGATTGTTGGTACCCCTGAAGGGTGGAACGCGTTCTGTCTTTCCTCGAACTGTTCTCATATGGCCATGTGTATTCAGCCAGTGTCACACAAATCCTACTCAGTACTTTCTCATGATGGGGATGTATACAAAATTGAGAGAACGAAAAGCAGATGACCGGAGTTTAAACCGAATTGTTAGTTACGAAAGATCCACATAAAGGAGTTGGAAAACTCTCATTCCAAACAAGTGTGATACACATGGGATCTAGGATCCTTAGGGAACAAATGGCGTATGCAATTATTATTAATCACCGCCTACCATGAGACTGCATCTCCTGAAGCTGCTTCAATACCCCCGCAGATCAGAGGTTTTAGACAAGCGTTCGGTCAGTGGCTCCTAAAAAGAATCACCTGCTACGGTTCGGACAGGTGAATAGTACTTCAGCTCACATATGTATTTTCATACTTTGTACTAATGATTATGTGTTCGAATAATAATTTTCATCGGTTTAACAAGTGAAATGCCTATGATATATTTGAATGTATGAGTACTGTTTAAATTCATGACCAAAATAGGAGACCAGAGTAGGCAACAAACAATATTTTATTCTGCACAATTACAAGCAGCCATACTCAGTGAGTTCGGATTAAAAATCAATGACAGTAAAGGAAACCGCATACTTAATAGCCGGTAGGCAGAGAGCCTGTTTGTCCACTCTCGGTAACCAATCATATCTTACTTTCACTACTATCCACCAGAGAGCTTAAAAATTTTTCATCGATCCTAATATTAATAGTTGGCCTATGCTCCACTGAGGGTAACAGACCTAAGTAAGCAGGTAGTATTAATGATCCATTTTGCGCTGAATTGTGTAAAGTTAGGAATCAAGGTATGAAATGTGTATAAAACCAAGTTTAGTAAGAAAACCATCTCAGTGATTGTATGTAGAAATTTCCAGTGTCCCTTCATCTCATATCAATCATCAAGAAACTACCTTTTCTGAGTAGGCATTAAGTTTTCTTCAGTTCGTCACTTTAAAAATGAGAAATTGGCAAAATGCGCTCCATTCAGTCTTGAGATGGTGGAGAAAATTCGTAGCTGAGGTGGATGGTTGTGGTGGCTTCATTTCCAATCAAAATCATCCAGCTCATAGAATGAGTTTATCTGTTATTTGTGTACTGAACATTAAATCACCTAGAAATTCCAGCAATGAAGTATAATATTCACTAGTTTAATAAATTGTGGCACTCAATCTTTGTGATTAGACGATACTTGTTAACTTTTATTCAAGTAAGATTATAATTAATCATTCTAATGTCATCAATTACACTTTTACTATTGAGTTACTCACGTCGCACTACTTAAATTAAGCTAGTAGTATGTTGTGTGACAAAAAAGAGATAGCAAATAACAGTAAATAAATTAAGACGATAACGACAACAGTTTTATTTATTGACTTGTAAAAATATTGAATAAAAATAATAAGATAAATTAAGAATAAGTAGTAAGTATTCAAGTCATCATTATCATCAATAATATTCTATTCATAAAGACAACATGTTGAGTGATATATGATTGATATGTATGTGATAAGATTATGATGTAACAGTCAAAATAATAAGGCTTACTGTGTTTTGTTTTTTTGACAACATGCATTTGAATTTCATAGTATGGTAATTAAAGAACTAAATGAACACATACATTTCTAGTTTCTTTATATCTTATTTCTGTCTGTCTGATCATAAAGTCAATTAAAATTAGTTTATCTTTCAATTTGAAATGCTTCATTATCATATTCATTTTTTTGATAATTTGAAGATTGTCCAGTTGTAGTTCGCTTTGTTGTTGTTGTTGTTGTAGCCATTGCTGGTGTCATCAATTGTGTTGTTTCTTTGTTCAATTGTTCAATGTTGTTCAATTGTTGATTTGAATTATTATTATTTAAATTATTCGCAACGTTCACATTATCATCATCATCTTCATTGTTATTATTGTTGGTTTTTTTACTTTTTAAACCAATACAAGTACAAATATAATGAACTTTAGCAATAATTTCATCTTTCATTAAATTTAAACACATTGATAATAAAGATAATCCAACTAGTAAGTAAAGACCGCCAACAACAAGTTCCGTTGTAGTTTTAGGCTAAAAAAATAGTTGATTGTTTTAGTGTATTGTTGTTGTTTTGTGTTTTGTTTTGTTGAAGTAGGGAAAAATAAACAACAATTTTTTTAGTATACAAATATATGATAACTAGTAATCTTTTCAAATATAAGTAGTAATAACAATATTAATAATAATAAGATTTTGATTAAATTAAACAACAGGATTTAGTAGGGAGCTTTATTGAGAAGTTGATTTTGGCTCATAATCAACTTTTGTATGAGAAAGGAAGAGAACTAATTGAAATCAATAGACATAAAGACAAGTATTAAGTTCTTGTTGAATTTCAATCCTTGTAACTATGAAACAATTTTTGGATTAACATACAATTTCACATATTGAAACCATCACCATTAATAAACCCAGAAGCATTGTAGGACGGCCACTTCGTCATGGGTAAGGGACTTAGCAGTGCGCATCCACGACTCCTGAACCTAGCAGGATTCGAGCCCAGGACCTTTGATCTTGCGCGCGTACGCCTAACCTCTGGATCACTGGGCTGAAAAGTCCCCCACGATGTGCTCATTAGTGACTAGCTACATGAAATTCTCAGAGTTCTAATGAGATGTGACCAGTGGAGTTCAACTCGGTAGGATGTGGGCAGTAACTACCGAGGACTAATGGGTGAGGTTGCGTAAAATTTTAGATTGATCAGAGTCATTGGATGCTAGGTAAGTTGTCCATAGGTCGAGTGTTAGCATGCAAAACCGACGGTCGTGGTTCTGATTCTTGCGAGTAGCAGGAGTCGTAGCGGCTCAATGTTCATAAGTCCCATACAAGCACGAAACACCCGTTCAATGCTTCTCTGTTTCTAATGTTGGTCTAATAATGATTCATTCATGATTTCAATGCAATCTGAAAATATCCAAACTTTTAGCAAAGCAATACAAATCACCTCCAGATCTGTAGGAAAAACAATGATCAATAGTAGTCAATTAATATTTTTCGTTAGTTCAATTTCCTATAACAGTGATTTGAACACATCATATTCATGTCACCTTTAAAATGCATATGGAAGTGGATAGGACATACACTGCGAAAAGCACCTAACTGCGTCACTAGACAAGCCCTCACTTGGAACCCTCAAAGCAAAAGGAAAAGAGGAAGGCCAAGGAACACATTACGGCGAGAAATAGAGAAAGATATGAGAGGAATGAACAAACATTGGACAGCACTGGAGAGGGAAGCGCTCAAGACAGAGTTGGTTGGAGAAAACTGGTGGGCGGCAATGCTCCATTGGGGGTAACAGGCGTAAGTAAGTAAGTTCCTATCCATAACCATGGATGTTACTCCAAAATACCATCCAAATTAAACGATTCTATTGTGTTTCTACACTTTTATTTTATTGTAAACAATAAAAAAGAATAACATGCAAAAAAAACAGAAACTAAATTTACATCATTGAATCTTCCATTGCCTGGAACTAAATCTCCAAAACCAATAGTTGATATTGTAATAAATGAAAAATAAGCAGCATTCGCTGTTGACCAATCTTCCCATGTTGGAAATATCATTGCACCGATTATTGTATAGATTGATAAAACTATGACACTAATTGTCAATGGAACATGTAATTTTGCACCATCATCTATTCGATTCTCATCATCTTCATCGTCATCACTATCATAATCATCGTCAATGTTGGATTGAATCTATAGATATGTATATAGAAGAATAACATATCATATATATATATATATTTTATTTACTAATTGTTTTGCAATAGAGAGAAATGTCAGTCACAATCAAAACAAGTTAACGCTAGATAACAATAAAAAAAGAATATATGAAAATAGACAGACAGACAGATACAACGCAGAACTTCGTACGTAAGTACATCAGTTCAGGTTGCCATGCCCCATCAGCACAGAGACGCAACTGTCGGTTCAAATCCAAGAGTGATGGCAATAATAGAAGTATTAGCAGTAATGGAGAAGATTAGGGAGCGAAGAAATGATTCGAGAAGTATAATTCAGTAAGATAAATTTGGAAGGAGAAAGGTAGAGATTATGAGGAATGCAGAAGCACCTGCTCCATTGCAAACGATTCCGAGCCATGTCATTCAGGGTCTCTAACCATCGGTGACTATCGTCTCGCGGACCCCAACCAGGTAGTCTACATCTACCAACATGACTCAGCCCACTTGTCAATGACTTCATGGATTTCTGCCATGTTTTAGTTTGGCCGCCCCTAGGTTTCTTCCAACCTATTCCTACACTACAAAACAAAGCTCGTCGAGGCAGTCGGTGGTTGGACATTCGTAACACATGTCCCAACCACCTCAACTGATGAAGTTTCATTACTTCATCTATTGATCTGCCATCCTCACCTAGCACTCGTTTCCTAATAACAGCATTGCTCACCCGGGTGTCCCATGATACACGAGCAATGCTTCGGATACACCTATGATCAAAGACTAGTAACCTACGGATGTCCTCTACTCTTAAAGGCCAAGTATCGCATCCGTACAGTAAGACGGAGCGAACTGCTGCACAGTACACTCGTCCTTTGGTTAGCAAACGGATATCTCGCCTGCGCCATAGGTGACGCAGGTTGGCAAAAGCCAATCGAGCCTTCTGTATCCGAGCTGAGATTTCGTCAGTCACCAGGCCATCAGCACTGATGAAACTCCTGAGATAAGTAAAGCGGTCAACACGCTCGACTACTTCACTCCCTATCACTAGTTCAGGTGCCGATGCCGTTATACTTTCACCCTCTATTTTCATATTTGATTTGAATTGGTCAAAATCAAATATGAAAATAGAGGGTGAAAGTATAACGATTAGACGACTTATGTCTCTTTTGTGTCTTAAATAAAGGTTAACGTTTTCTCCATAGGATATGGCGCAACTACACAGGTATCTGACACCTTGGTGAACCATTCACACTAATTATATACACCAGTATATATGTATAGTGATAATTTCCGATCCATGATAGCGTCACAGTCAATATGCACTGCATGAACAGGCCAATATGACCCGTCCTGTTTACATGACTGTCAAATTCATGATTATTAGCAATGGTGATATGCAGCAATACAGCATACCAAATACAATGACCCTCGGGAATGTTGCAAAACAACCACGCCAGTATCAATCAAATCGGTCACCATGTTAGCCAAATTTGTATATGAACTATCAGCAAGACTTGCCGAAGTAATGCCAAACCATCCACAGTGTTCATCACAACTAATTTTCGGTCTCATAGGAAACCTTCAGCTCGATATAGCAGTATAGCATATGATATACACATAGTATGGCATAGAATAGCTAGAGATGCAGACCAGCTTGATGCTAATGGGCTATAACACTCTCATTCGCATGTCGGTACAAAATATTTTTTATAAGTTTGGATTTTTTTCACTGAAATGATGAATCGATCAGTGTTTGATCACCATTATAAACCTAGAAGCATTGGACAACCGTTTTATCTTAGTATGGGATGTTATCAATAGTGCGCATCCACAACTCCCGCTACTCGTAGGAATCAAACGCAGGACTTCCGGTCTCGCGCGCGAACGCTTAATCTTTTGTTCAAACTTAAATGTTTTGGGGCAGAGTTTTGGAGGTTTGTGTTTTTACACATTTAAAATCATCAATCAATCATTGTTAGACCACCATTAGAAACCTGTAAGCACTGAACGCCTGTTTCGTCCTGGTATGGAACTCATCAGCAGTGCGCATCCACGACTCCTGCATCTCGCAGGATTCGAACCCGGGACCTTTGGTATTGTGCGCGAACGCCTAACCATCGGACCACTGAGCCGGCATCCAACGGTGTTAATGTCTAACTCTGATTGATCTAGGGATTTTGCGCGATTAAGATTATGCTATTTAATTTGAAATATTTTCATTCTAGTTAGTTTGTCATATTGATTGTATTCTTGTCTGGAGCTTATTCTTACTTCTTTAGTTGTGACTGATATTAGTTTATACTGTTTAAATTAAACTAATCGATAATAGTGGCCTAAAACCGAGTACTGATTGAAGTTATAAGCATTAACATCATTGGATGCCAACTCAGTGAAGTGGTCTAGAGATTGAATGTTCAGGCATAAAACCGAAGGGTCTGAGTTCGATTGCTGGGTTTAGGATCAAGGATGAGAATTGTAGAGGAATCCTATAGTAAGACCGACCATCGGTGTCTTCGATGCATTGCTCGTGTATCCTGGGACAAGCGAGTAAGCAATGTTGTTGTTAGGAAACGGATACAAGGTAAGGAATAATATCCTCCGATTACTGCTAATACTTTTGTTACCTCTACTGCTATTGGGTTTGAACTGATAGTTGCCTCTCTGTGCTAATGTAGTATGGCAACCCGAGCTGATGTACGTACGTACGTCCGAAGTTCTGCGTTGTAACTGCCTGACCTTATACTAAGACGAAACGGCAATTCAGTGCTTGCAGATTTCAATATCAAGTCATTTTTTTCCTTACTGGCTATGTTATGAGTTTTTGTTCTTTCTGGAAATTCAGTACAATTCAGTATATAAAAAATATTTTTCCAAAGCAATGCTTACATTGTTTGAGTTAAGTTTACTACTACTCCTTATTTTTCATTGGATGACAGCAGTTCACTGGAAAAATTGATGGTCGAACATCGAAATCTTTAGAAATATTAAGATAGAAGATATCAAGTTTAATAAACATAGGACAATACTATTCATACTGTATTACTGTATACTTGACGATAATGGTAGAGCTATCTTTTACGCACAAAGGTTGTTTTTTCTGCTTTCTGTAAAACTAAATATATACTTTGATAAACTGATCAGTACACTGGTTCACCAGTCTGTTCATATCCTCTTGAGCATTGAACTTGTAATATATAAAACTCCTGATTAGAAGAGTATGCTGTTTAAAGAAATTCCTTTTATGTACAAATGTTCAACATTATCGAAAACTTAGTAATGATTTATAATGAAGCAAACATGTTAGCTTATGGATTGGAATTTCGAATTGCAAGACAGGTGTTTTTTCTTAATATATGACGTTTTATTAATACGCAGCCACGGTGCTCTTAGGGATTAAGCTCATGACTTATAGGTCGCACAGCATACACACCGACTTTAGTCTTTGATATTAGAATCCAGTAACCCATATTTCATGATACAATGTGACAATCATCCGTTCTTATCAATAATTAGCTAACTAATTCAGTCAAATCAAACATACAAAATAAAGATTAATGATCTTTCACTCCTAGACTTTATAACTTTCTACAACTTTTAAAACATTAATTCACTTTTGTGATGGACGCTATTCACAAGATGATTTATAAGTAGTATTCAAGGGAACCACTCCTAAAAATTACCACCAGAGACAAACGTATCAAGAGATCGAAGTACATAGTGTGATCAGAATAATTAAAGGCCGGTAGACGAACAAAAGAAGACAGTCTATAACTAGCTTGCATTGCTGGAACACGCAACAGATACTTGTGGTGGTGTTTCGTTCTCTGAGCTCAGAGAACAACCATCCATCTAAGCTACAGATTTTCTCCACCACGCAACAGATACAAATGTATGCTTATATAGAATAAGTCTACATATTATGTATGTATTTGTCTGTATATATAACTCCATTTGGACTTGATTTCTGTGTACACTTCCATTTTAATCGTTTTATCTTACTTTTACATTGAACAATCATTTATGTCGACTTGAATTCAAAAGGAATTTCTAATAAATAACAACTAAATCATTCAAACAAAATCTCATAAAGAAAATAATCATATTAGAATGAACCTTTAATTAAAATGAGAAAAACACAAATGATCATTTATTCATTTTTAAATAATGCAAACTTTCTTTTAAAAATTATAAAACAAAGAAAAAAGAATTGAAACATTGAACATGAAAAAGAAAAAGTTGATGGCGAAAGTAACAACACCAATAAGTTTAACTAATAAGAGAAGGAAGAAGGCAAATTTATTAAATATCATGTACACGTTAACTATGTATTCATTCATTGAGAGATATGAATTGTATGTTCAGTTGTTGTTGTGGTTGTCATGGTAACACACATATACATACATATACTTATAGATAGATTTTTATTGTTAATAATAATAATGCCAAGTTATTTAAAATGTTTCAATGTACGTTTATTAAAACAAACAAATTAATTATTATTTCTTGTTTTAATATGAATACAATAAATGTGATAGAATAATAATAATAATATTAAAAGTTCTAAGTATTATATTTGTAACATGTTATTTACTTAACCTGATAGAATGTGTACGTGAGGTGCGTGTATTTGTATGTGTATGTGTGTGTATGTGTGTGTGTGGCAGAGAGAAAGAGAGGAGAATAACCTATAAACCTTGAATTTTATTGGTAATACACAATTGTCGTCTTTTTTATGAATAGAAATAGAAATTTATTATAATATGAAATGAAAACCGTGTATACATGAATAAGGGAAAGTGAGGGAGAGAGAGAGAGAGCTAAGATCATGAAGTGTACAATTATGATGAACATTAAAATAGATTATTTGCATCATAGAGTTGTGAAAAGTGTCGGTTTATTTTTTGAAATCATGAATCGATCAATGTTAGACCACCAACATTAGAAACCTGAAAGTACTACTGAACGGACGTGACTAGTTCTTTGTGGGAAATTCTCCGATTTCAACCATGTTGGGTT